GTTTGGGGTGAAGAAAAGCCTATTAAGCATACTGCAATTGTTACTTCTTTTGCTTTTCAAGTTGAACATATTTCACTTTGTGAACTTCCTTAATGGCAATCCACGACTTCATTTGAAGATCTAGCCTAAGACTGTAACAGAAATAAGAGAAAGAAAGAATTCTTTTCCCCTTCTTGTCTAGCCGCACTAATCCTCTTTTAAAGAACCCTTTCCATCAAGGGAACCTAGAGAAGCACAATTTCCACAGCAAATGCAATACGGAGAGGTACAGTTTAAAAGGGTCACTACTGTGAGTGATAAGTGAAAATAATGGAATGATCCAGAGAGGCACACTGAGCCCAGAAGCGCACACGGCCACTCGGCTTTATTGGGTCAGGAATATGCACACACTTCTGCCTGTTTGGAAAGCCAGGGAAATGGCAGACCTTGGCTTCTGCTGGTGGGGACACACACCGGCAATGTTTTATTGCAAAGTGACGGAAACCTTGTAAGGACTTTAACACTTAGGAGACAGCGGGAATGGCTTAGTGACAAAGAACTAAGATTTTCTCCATTGGGTTCCTCCAGCCTTGACAAGGTTGACAACCATATTTTTTAAAATGTGTGATGGATTCAGACAGACTCCAGAAAGTTTTACCGTAAAAAATACATATATAAAACAGTTAAAGTGTCCCCTCAGAAAAACGCCTGGAGAAATACATCATCACAATGGTATAGAAATGCATCCGAAAGTGCCTGCAGATTGCTCAAAGAAAACAGAGTCAATTTTCTGAAAAGATTGAATAGAAATAGTGAATGCACCCAGCTTCGTTTAATGCCCACAGAGTTCATGTGAGAATGTAATTAAGAGGGAAAATAGATAAATGGTTGAACCTGGTTCTTTGAGTTTCTTCGGAAGGTCAGGGCCCACTCTTTTCTAGCAGGATTCAAAGTAGCAGGAGACAGTGGGCTGAGTTTCCAGACACTTGGCTCTGGGACAGAATGTTCTTTCTCCTGTGGTTTTCAAATTTTGCCCTAAAGGCAGATTTATGAATATTTTTAAAGAACAGGCCTTCCTCCCCTTATTTATAGAAATATAGAGCTTTATGTAATACGTATTTATAATATAGAGCTTTATTATTTGCTGGTAAAGCAAATTAAGCCTGAGTTTGGGCAGTAAATTTTCAATTATATCTATATAGATATATATCGTGTGTGTGTGTGTGTGTGTGTGTGTGTGTGTGTGTGTACATTTGTTTGGAAATACTAAGGCTTCTGATTTAGAATCAGAGAATCCTAGGGTTGTGTAGGGCTTTTATCACCATGAAGTCCTCATCAGGGCCCTATGGAAGTTTAACTGCAGCAGTTCTCTCAGCTAAGACAGGAAATCCTTCTGTGATGCTGAAAAATGCTGTGTCGTCCTCTGCAGAGCTGGGGCTGGGGTGGCAGCCACACCCAGGTACCCGAGCTCAGGTGAGCTTCTTCAGCCTCAGCAGGGGTAACACCCTGAGCATAGGTTCTGACTCCCTTTCTTGGCGCTGAGACATTTGGCAAGTGCGTAATTCCTCTAGCTACCCTGTGGAGAAAATGTGGGTAGCACCTTGGGCCTTGTAGGGTGGTGAAGACTGAGTGCGAGGATATGCAAAAAGCCCTCAGCACAGTGCTGAGACAGAGGAGAGGCAGTGGTCACGCTGGGAGCTGGTAGAGAGTCCTGAAGTTTCAAGCTGGCCCACAGAACACACAATGGCTATGAACTGATTCTCCATGTTCTGATTTCTTCTGCATTTCCCTTATACCCAGCATGCTAAGCAACCCCCAGGTTTTGCATTTATACAGGGTCCCTCCTCACTAATGAATACAGAAAGTGCTAGTCACTGCCAATTATAAAAAATTACCTTTTTTATTCAGCATCTTCATGCATTATTTCTTTACCTGAGTTCAAGATTAACTGGGCCACAGATCTTAACAGATTATAGAAATAATGGCACAGAGGCTTGAGACGGAGGGAGTAGGTCATTAAATGTACAAAGAAAGAAGAGGGCTGATGAGATGGCTCAGTGGCTAATGTACATTTCATCGAGGCTGGACTTTGGATCCCCAGACCTGCCAGTAAATGGCCTGGAATTCCAGCCCTCTGTAGTCACAGACAGTGGACCCAGAGAGCAGACTAGTCAGCAACAGCCATACCACTGAGCTCTGCGTTGGCTTGAGAGACCCTACCTCAATGAATGATTGAAAATGGCTTTACCTCAACCGCAGGCCTCCACGTACACTCACAGATGTGTGCCCACACATGTGTGGCCACACGTGCCAAAAGACAGCAGTGCCTACACATGCACAGCACACGTAAAAAATCGGAAGAAATAAGAAAAAAAGAGAAGGAAACAGGAAGAGTTGGGTTAGCAGGCAAAGTAGTGGGCCCTTCAGGACCTCTTAGCCACTGGGTGTGTTTCCTAACACTCGTCCACCTGGACAACTGGACTCCCGAGATGATTAGCAAACAAAGGGTTTCTTTGTCAAGAACGCTCACCTGACATTACCCTCCAGGAAGGTCTGGGCACACACCAGCATGGCAGACATTTGAGAACTGCTGGGGCACAGGACCCTGTTCCCTTGATTCTGATTATTACCTACCCTGTTTGGGGGACATCCCATTACTGTTAGCTCAGAACTGGGAAAAGGGGAAGCTCAGTCAGGAGCTTCCTTCAGTCAGGATCAAATATTCGGTGTCAGGGGCCACGGTAGAGCTGACAGGGGAAAGTGGGGCTGGTACTCACTGAGGCCGCACGGTGCGGGAGACCGCCATGTTGAGAACGCTGGCCCTTTCCCACAGGTCTTTGCTGGGTTTGCAGTGGGCAGGCTACTTATGGCGCTTGAGGGAGGAATGAAATCTAGTTCTGTTCGAGTGGGGGCACAAAGGTCTTTTTGAAAATCTGAGGACGCACTTGGCACAAAGCTCACGTTTATGAGCGTGGCTTCTCTAGTCAGTAAGAAGCTTGGAGTTCGGAATCTGTCTGCTCAGTTCCCTGGAAGGTAGCATGGTACAGAGATTGTACAGAGACCCATGAACTAGACTCTGCGATCCTTTCTTTTATTTCAAGACAGGGTTTCTCTGTGTAGTCTTGGCTGACCTGGACTCAGGACAGGCTGGCCTCGAACTCTTAGCTATCTACCTGCCTGTGTCCTGAGTGCTGGGGTTACAGGCGTGTGTGTGCCACTGTGCCCAGTTCTCTGTGGTCCTTCTTATGGTTGGGTCAGCCTGTGGAGCATACGCTCCTGGGTCTGTGAAAACACTAGAAGAAAAGAAAGCACACATAACCTGAGGAGTTTTGAAGGTTATACTTACAAGCCACACTTTCAATAGGCTGTTCCCTCTCCGCCTCCCTTCCCCCTCAGACCCAACGCTAACCCCTTAACCCACCTCCCTCCTTTCATATCCCTCCATTAAAATAGTTTTCTTTTGAGTAAATACTGAAACAGGGTTCATGAGCATTCCAAAAAGTACGTACAATTTCTACCTTCAAGACACCCTCATCACTGTTGAAAATACCACCATATTGCTTATGTATGTTTACCATATTTCATAATTTAAGACTATAGGATAGTTATATGAAATATCAATTCACATATTGCTAAAGAATAAAGCTACATTCTGTTCTTGCGTTAGAGCCCTCAACTGTAGCAGGTGTACTTTTCAGTGTGCCTTATGAGATTAATGGAAACGATAGCAGCACTTGGCCCTAAAATTAGACTTATTTTATACAATATAACATAATATGAAATTTAATAATAGGACATTTTGCGAAGCGGATGTGCCAGGACAGAGCCAGGGTGAGCTGTTGGAAGTCTGATGTTAAGTTTCTTCACAACACAAACTGCCCCATGCCTTATTCAACGTCATTTGAGATGGGTGTCAGATGAGGCTAAATCTGGCATCACTCCAATTTCAAGAAACTTGAACTTCCAGAAAGTAACATAAATACTGGTTTATTCCAACTTGTATTTTCTTTCCTTTTTTAAAAATTTTTTTTATTTTTTAATTTTTTTTAGGTTATTCTTTTTTCCAACTTGTATTTTCTTCTCCATTGGTCATGTTTTAAATCCTCATTCCACATAAAGCAGAAAACTTCTTTTTCTGACATGATTATAATATCATTAACTGTGAAGCATTAATGTATAAAAGCAGGATCAAGAAGAAAATACTGCTTGCTGACGTGTACTTATTTCATGATGAGTAATGAATCTCAGTCTTTCTTTCTGTGTAGACTAACTCAAAAACAATAGCCACAGACATGTGATTGCTCTTCCTTTGTCGCACATATTTGCTCCATTGACAAGGAGACGGAATTGTGGGAGAGATACTCGGTTTAGACTTGAATGGATACAAACAGAACAAAATGAGTCAGAGAGGCTTGCTAGGGGAGGAGGTAACTGGTGGACCTGGCCTGCATTTGGGGGGACCCAGCAGCCACTGCCGTTCCCCCTCTCGCATTCTCTTCTTCTGGAGCCTGCTTTCTGGAGCCTTCTCTATGGCGACTGCACATAGATACTCAAACCCACAGTGGAGCATTTACTTCCACGTGGCTTATCAGACTCTATGATTGGAAAATGTCATGACAGATTTTGGACACATGTCCCCCAAACTAATCAAGGATTTCAAAGTGGGTGTCTTAGTCCTAGTTCCTATAACTTGAAGTAACAGACAGGGAGGTTGGTGGACAATGACAACACATTTCTCATGATTCTGGAGGATTCTGGAGGCTGGGAAGCTGAGATCGGGAAGGGAGAAGGGCTCTGTTGTGATGAGGGCTCTTTCCTGGGTTGCAGACAAACTCCCTCTTGTTGCAGAAGGTGAGGTGGAAATCCTGTTCACAAAAGTCCCACTCTTTGACATAATGACTTACCAAAGCTCCACGAATTCAGGGATTCTGGGTCAGCATTTGGATTTGGGGACGGAGGCACAAACATCAAACTCATGACAGGGTCTGTGTGCAGCCACTAAAGAGAATGTTCTCTTGTAGGAATGGAATTCAGCCCTGGAGACGCTGAAGAGCCAGGCTCTGGAGATCCTACGGTCAAAGGACTTGGCAGAAAAGGAACATCTGCAGCTCTCTAACCAGAAATTGAATCAGCTTCAAGAAGAGTTTGGACTACACATGGCAGAAAGGAAAACCTCATTAACAATGGCAAATGACTTTTTTAACAGTGCCAACAAGGTCAGTGGGAGGTCAAGATGATAATCTTATGTACTCGGGCTAACCAATAAGAGACTCCTCCTGTCAACTGGCCAGGGCATGTGTCACAGAGGCTAACTACCATGTAGAGTCAAACTGATAGAGGCACACCAGAGTTTTTAAACCACACTCCTGGTGTGCCTATAGGTTGTTTTTCAAAACTAAGATGTCGTGTTTTGATGTATAATGAGTTAATTTTTAAAATAACTCCAAAGCCATGTTTGGTGGCACATACCTTTAATCCTAGCACTCAGGAGGCTGTGAGTTTGAGGCTGCTCAGGTCCCGCATGTTCCAAGCCAGCTCTCTAGTGTGACCCTGACTTTAAAAAAAGAAAGAAAGAAAGAAAGAAAGAAAGAAAGAAAGAAAGAAAGAAA